CATCCGCCGCCCCCCCCCCCCCCCCCCCCCCCCCCCCTTCCCCCCCCCCCCCCCCCCGGCCCCCCCCCCCCCCCGTTTCTTTCCCTTCTTCAGCCTTGAGGCTCTTGACCCGCCCCCACCCAGTCTCTCTCGGGACCACCGCCACCTTCTCTGGGCATTGGTTCCTCCTCCAACCCACCCTCCCCATTACCCCCATCCCCCATCCCATCCTCTTATCCCTAGACCCACCCAGCGTCCCTCAGCACCTCGCCGCCAGCCCTGGGCCCCTCCTAGGCTTTCCCTTAGGGGCACCTCCTAACCCCAATCCTCCCCTCATTCCCAGACCCTTGTCTTCTGCCTTCCACCTCCTGTCCCCTGCCTCTCACCAGGCCTCGTCCCCACCCCCATGCCCCGCCCCCACGTCTCCTTCCTTGCTGAGGCGCACCTGGGCGACGCGGATCCACTTCTCCAGCCGCTGCGCCCTCTGTGGGGCTGCCAGGCCCTGCTCTCCCAGCACGGAGCCCAGCACGCAACCGATCACCATGTTGAACTGGGTCACGGTGGCGCGCACCGTGGGGGCAGCGCTCGTGGCCCCCGGACGGTCCCGCTGTGACCACACGGAGCCCAGGCACTCGCAGGGCCGCACGCGCGAAAAGAGCTCCTGGGTGGAGGGAGGTGGGGAGGGTGGGGAGGTGGGTAGGATTGTGCTCAACGGAATCTGCCCCACACCCGCGCCCCGCCCCAGTGCTCACCGCGTCCAGCAGCGTCAGCTGTTCGGCCACTTCATCTACACCGAAGTCTAGGAGCTCAGGGCCTTCACGCACCAGTCCTTCCTCCTCTTCTGAACAGCCTTCCGGGGAATCTGGGCGGGGGGTCTGGGTAGCTCCAGGAGGTCCTGAGGGAGTATTAGAGGGGGGTTAAAAACTCTCAGGTTTGAATCCAGGACTGGCTGTGTGATCTTGGACAGGTTCCTTAGTGTCTCTGAGTCTCACTTTCCTTATCTGCAAAACGGAAACTTCCCCGGGTATTTTTAAGGGTGTCAGAGCAATGGTAACGTTCATTTAGCACCTAAGGTGATAATCCACCCTAACCCAGTGAGGGAAGTACTATTATCCACCTCCCACGGATGGGGAAACTGAGGCAGGAACAATTTACCCTAAGTCACACCTTCAGGAAATGGCAGGGCAGGGATTTGAAGCCAGGTGCTTAAAGGCTAGAGGAGAAATTAGGTGTTTTTGGTTTTGAACCTATATTAAAGTAAGCTCTGTCTGCCCTATTGTTGTGGTGAGAGGTGGTATAACTTTGTAGTTAAGGGAAGGCTATTGTCAGTCCCAAGTTCAAATCCAAACTTGTCCCCTGGGCTTGCTATGTGAACTAAAGCAAACTCTTTAACCACTGTGTGCCTTGATTTCTTCATCTGGATTTTTAAAAAAATCCGAGATCATACATACTAGACAGCTATAAAGTACTCAGTAATAGGAATGATTTTTCCATAGTGGGATTCTATGGTGGCGCCCCCTAGGGGACATTTTGAAGTTGAAATCTGCCACAAGGGGGCCGACCTGCACAGTGAATTTGTGCCTCGCTCAGCCTCCAAGCGTCCCTCCAAGACACTTGTGTCCTTGGAAAACCTGTTTACCATAATCTGCACCTAGAACCCAACTATCTTGCTCATAAACACTCATTAGTTTGGCTCCAGGAATGCAAGAACTGCCAAAGTCTGGGCTCTGTTTTGTTTGGAAATTACGAGCGTTGTTCACCAACATGAAACGTGTCACCATGAGACAGCAAACAGGTAAACGGAGAAGGTGAGACACTCCTCTGGACAAATGATCCATTTTTTTTTCCTTAATGACATTAAACAAAAGACAAAGGGAGACTGTCCTAGAATAAAAGAGACCTAAGAAATGAAAGACCAAGTGCCTTGAATAGATGTTTGGATTTCGAAGAAACAACTGTAAAAAAAGACAATTTAGGGACAATGGGGGGATTTGAATCTGGATTGGGTTTTGGGTTTTTTTGTTTTTGTTTTTTTGAGAGAGAGCAGGGTGGAGAGGGGCAGAGGGAGAGGGAGAGAGAGAGAATCTTAAGTAGGCTCCACACCCAGTGTGCAGAGCCTGACTCGGGGCTCGATCTCATGACCCTGAGATCATGACCTGAGCCAAAATCAAGAGTTGGACGCTTAACTCACTGAGCCACCGAGGCACTCCAGGACTGGGTAATTTTTGATATTAAGTAATTATTGCTGATTTTTTGGAAATGATTGTGCACACGAGGTTATGTTAAAAAAAAATTCTAAAAAAAAAGTTGTTAATTAAGGTGGGTAGCAAAGTATTTACGTGTGAAGTGACGTAAGTTGGGGATTTGTCTTCAAATCATCCTGAAAAAAAATTTTTGTGTCAAATTCATAATTGTTGAAAATGAGCAATGGGTGTCTGAGTATTCTTTATACTATTCTCTCTACTTTTCTGTATGTCTGCAATTTTTCATAGTAAAAAGTAATCCCAAAATAAAGATGTTAAAATAAAAATATATTCCAGAGCAGGGCACACAGTAGGTGTCCAGTGAATGTTCATGTACTCGTCTGACCTCAAGAACTCATATCCTAGGCTGGTACTTGCGACAGAATTTTCTGCAGTGGTGGAAATATTTTCTACCCGTGCTGTCCAATGTGGCTACTGAGCACTAGAAATGTGGCTAGTGTGACCAAGGAACTGAAATTTTTACTTTGAGTTCAATTTCAATAATGCGGCTAGCAGCTACCCCACTGGACTGAGTGGCTCTAGCGACTTGGAATCAGCTGGTGAAATCCTGCAGGCAGAGGAAGAAAGAACGTTAAAAACCAAGGGGGAAGACAGAGGGATAAAATATATATAAATAACTGAGATTTTGTCACCAGGGAGAAAGAAGTGGCTGCTGCTTTGTAAAGCAGAGAGGAATGTGGCCACTTTAATCTGAGGATTAAAGGATAGGGATTAGGGATTTAGATGCTTTTGAGATCGGGATCAGGTCAAACACAGATGGATGAAAGATGATACCTTATAAGCAGGATGCAATTATTCAATCAACAAATCTTGGTTTGTCCCTGGGGACAGAGTCAGGGACAAGGCCAATGAGTGCTATGCAGAAAAATAAGGCAGGCAAAGATGCAGAGTGGGAGGATATATTTGCTTGGAGATCAGAGAAACGGACAAGTTGAACAGAGACCTGAATGAAGTACGTACATATTTTTCCCTCTCCCCAAAAGCTCTCTGCAACAGAGGTTGGCAAAGTCTATAAAGGACCAGATAGTTTGCTGATACTTTACAGGAAAATATCAGTATGGGTTCTTATGTCTTTTCACTTTAAGTGGTAGATTCGAATAAGTAAGAATCAGTGATAACAATGATGAAAATAATACTATTCGCCAAGCCCTCATTGTTTACTTATTTACTGGTTTACTGTTGTCTTCCCTAGGGAACTGGGAGCTCCTGTCCAGTTATATGCCAAGAGCCAATAGCTAACTATTTGTTGAATGAATAAAGAGGTCCATGAGGGAAATACTATCATCACCCCCAATTCACAGATAAGGAAACAGAGGCTCAGAGAGTGAAGTGACTTATCCAAGGTCACACAGTCAGCACAAATGGCAGAACTGGGATTTGAACCCAGGTCTCCGTGGCTCCTGAGGTAAGTAGCAATGGAATGAGTTGTAGCTAGAAATAGAGCATCCTGACCCAATGGCAGAGTATTTTTGTAGTTAGGATGGAGGTGTAGGGGGAAGTGCAAGACAAATGCTGATATGTTAGACAAAGGGTCAATACCCCCATTATACAGGTGGGGAAACTAAGGCTCAGATGGGGTTAAGAACTTTGCCCAAGCTCTGTCACTGTGTGAGGGGAGAAGGCCCCTGGAGGACAGATCAGGCAGGGAAAGGCCCGCTCCGGGTCCCCTGCCCCTCACCTGCCCATGCCTCAGGCTGCTCCTCTTCCTGCTTTCGCTCAGCCTCCAGGAAATCTCCCAGCAGCTTCTCTGCTTCCTGGGCCTCGGGCCCTGCTGGGGCCGCCCAGCCCAGAAAGGTGCGGACGCTGCCTAGGTCCGAGTGGGCAGGGGGATCCCGGAAATCCTGAGGGTGATCCCGCAGCCAGGAGCCCAGCACGGACACCACAGCCCTGGCCAGAGTTGGGGGGGGGACTCAGAGACCAGCCCAGAGCTCTGGACCTTGGGAGCCCCTACACCTCAGACGTGACCTTGGACCTCTAGGACCCCCAACCTCACCTATGGGAGACCAACCTTAAATTCTTGTTGACACGCAGACCTCCTCCCTCTGTCTTCTTGATCTCTATCCTGGGAAAAGCAACTCCCCCATCAGGTGAAGAGGGAGGCTAGGGGGGTGCTTAGGGGAAGGGAATGCCTGATCGAGCACCCAGGTGAGAGTCTGGGGGTGGGAACACGGAGATTTCCGGTGGATACTGACCCTGGAGGCAGGGGCGGTGGTGGTGGTGGCAGGAGAAGGCCCAGCACACGGGCGGTGGACACAAAGGCCCTGTGGGTGGCCAGGAAGGCAGGCACAAAGCCCGGGTCCTGCTCGTGGTCTCCAGACACCAATTCCCGCACCAGCTGCTCCAGCCTCGCCGCCCTCAGCGCCCGCACCTTGCTCGTGCGGTAATGGAGGAAGGCATCCGCAGCGGGGCTGGGGGCCTGCCGGGCAAGGGGGCGGCAAAGAGACACCAGGAGCGGCCCCCAGAGCACCCCCTTTCCAATCACGCCCATCGCTGAGTACCGCTCTTGCATCTGATCTTGCCCATTTCTCTGAACCCCGCCTCCTGGATTCAAGATTCTGCTCCATACCCGAATGACCCTCGCAATCCGCCCTGGACACCATTGTCCCCCCAGGCCCCGCCCCGTGCCCTCGCTCACTCGGCCCTCCCAGGCTGCTCCCAGCTCCCCAGCCGCGCTTCGCTAGTCACTCCCAGTCCCAGGTTGCTCCCAGCCCTCCACCCCAGCCGGCTCTCACCCGGCGGCTTCTAAAGACCACCCCTCCCCTCCAGCTCCGCCCCACTAAACCTGGCCGACCTGGGCCCTGCCGTCCAGTTTAGTCCCCAGGTCCCGCTGCGGAACCGGGCGGCCCGCGGGCAGCCTCATTCATCGACCCCCCCATTCACCTGGCCGCCCCCAGGGGCTTTTCGACCCTTACCTGGGCGCTTGTAAGCCCCGCCCTTCCCTCGGGCCTCAGCTCCGCCCCTCGGCTTTGCCCTCTCCTCTTTACCTCCTGGCCCCTCCACTCCAGGCCCCGCCTTCACCTGGTCGCCTCCCGCCCCGCTCCACCCTCCAACCCTGGCCTCACCTGGCTGCCCCCGGGCCCTGCCCCGGGGCTCAAGCGCTGACTGAGCTGCCGACGCAGGGAGACGCTGTACACCGCTCCGTCCTCGGTCTCCTCGCCCCAGTCTTGCAGTGGCGCCTGGACGCGGAGACCGGCTCAGGGCGCCGCGGGGGGACGGGCCCCGGGACACCGGCCCCCCTCTCCCGCACGGACTCAAGCCGGTCCTTCTAGCACTAGCCCCCCTTCCCAGACTCAGCGAGACTCGGGGCGGGGTCCCGGGCTAGGGCAGTCCCCTCGGCGCCGCGGGCACCTCCGCCCTGGTCCTGAGAGGATGGAATGGCATTTGGGGACGTCCCAGGGTCCAGGCTCACGGAGTCTGTCTCTGTCCCCTCCCGTAGATGAGCTCAGAGACGCCCCCCATCCTTAAGCAGTATCAGCCACTTCATTGGGAGCAGGGGCCGGGAGGTCCAAGGTTGGGACTCCGGGCCGGTATGAAGAGTCCGATTTGCGGGGAGATAGGGTCCGGAAGGCGGGGACCTGGGGTTTTTGGACCTCAGGGTCGCTAGGGATGTGGGGTCCGGGACCCCTGGTCCCCTTACCAGGGCGAGCTCCTTGCCCGCTGTCCGATCCATGGCCTGTGCCCGTCCCGCTCCTCGGCGCGGCTGAGTGAGGCAGAAGGGCCAACGGGCGGCGGGCCGTGGCCGGGAGTTGGGGCCCGCGAGGCAGGGCGGGGCCACCGGGCCGTGCAGGGGCGGGGCGGGCCCCGTGGCTCTCGGACGCCCCCAGCTGGGGACCCCAGCGCCCAGCCCAGGCCCACGGAGGTGAGGTCCCGGGTCTCCCTGTAGGTGTATATCAATCTGTGCCCAGGAGAAAGGACACCTCTCTCCCCCCAGGGAAGGGTTCTTTTCTGTGTCTCCAGGTGGAGGTGAGCTAGTGTGTGTAGCTAAGTGCGGGGCCAGTCTGCGTCCCCGGGGAGAAGAGTACCCTGTCCTCAAATGGGGAGGGCTGTTTCACTCCAGGTGTGGGAGTCTCTCTTATTATCCTGGAGGTGGGGGTGTTCAATCTGTGTCCGCAGCTGATGGGGAGTCCTTACTCCCCAGGTCAGAGAAGGTGGAGTCTGGGCCCTGGAATTTAGGGGCAGCTGTCTTTGCAGAGGTGCAGGGTCAAGGAGAGGCAAATACCCAGGGGGCTGGTTGGTGATCTTTATTGCGCGATTCTGAGGCCAGCACAGGCTCGCCTTGGTAGATTTACCGTGGGAACATCCGGTGGCCCGGCCCCCTTCTCTACTCCGGGCGCCACCGCCCGTTCTGCTCCCTTGTCCCGCCTGCGTTTAGCCCTTGAAGGGGCCCGTGAGCCTGAGGCTGGACCCAGAGAGGTTGGGAGCTCCGCAGGGGCCCGGAAGCGCCAGGTGGACGCAAGGGTGAGTCTAGGTCTTTTTCGAGCGACTGCGTTTCTTGCTGCGGGATTCGATTAATTTCTGGGAACGAATCTTAAGCGCCGCACGGCTCACCACGTCGTTGTCTTCGTCCTCACTCTCCTCTTCGTCTGCGCAGGGCAATGAGGGGATCCGGGTTCCCATTCTTGGCTCAGATTTCCCTTCCCAGCCTTTACCACCCTCCCAACTCGGCCCCACCCCCCAAATTGGCCCCATGCCAGGCCTCGGACCACTTTCTGTCGGTTGGCTTGGGCCCCCAGCCCCGCCTCTTCTCCCTGACCGTACTGACCGAAGAACTTGTCCTTGAGACTGGCAAGGGGCAGGGCGATGCGGGTGTTGTGCACTGGCAGCTTGCCCTCCAGGGTGGAGTAGAACTGGGGGAGGGAGGGAGGGAGCGGGAGACAAGAGAGTGGGTGGGGTAGAGGCTGCAGGGAAGTCCTGTATCCCCTCCTCCTTACCCCATTCTAGGATATACCCTGATTCCACATGACACCTCTGCCCACTCCTCCAGTTTGGTTTTTCTCGAGCCCAGCTGAATTACTCGTTCTTAGAGCGCACCCGGATACCCAACCCCGCCCCTTTGACCCGTAAGACCGCCCCTGATCTCTGGGGTCCCGCCCCTTGATTCCCCCCGCCCCCCACCCCCGCGCGCGCGCACACACACTCCCCAGCCCTGCCCACTGGCCTTGGGGACCGTCTGGAAGCTCTCCTGGCTCCTCAAACCTCACACGTTGTCCCAAAGCTCATTTCCCACCCATAGGCCGCCTCCCTGGTCTCCCAAGGGGTGCCCCCGGCTCCCCGGTTTTCTGCCCCAGCCTCTGCATCCTCAGCCCCGTCCTCTGGCTGTACTCGCACCTCCTGGTCGGCGAGATGGCGCAGCATCGCCGGCACGTCGTGGCTTTCGAGTTGTGCCTGCAGCTTCAGCAGCTTTTCTTCCACGAGGCCCAGCAGGTCTGGCAGATAGTCAGCTGCCTGGGGATCCAGCACCTTTCCGGCGAAGCGGCCGTCCACCTGCGGTGGGGGCGGAGCCGAGTCAGCCCGGAGGGGGCGGGCCCCTGGGGCGTGTTCCACTGGGGGCGGGACTTTACCCCCTCCCCCCTCCCGTGAGCTAGGCTTTTGAAGGTGAGGGACCATCAACAGGGTTGGTGCTATCCCCCGTGGGGCGGGGCCTCTGAACTCTAGAGACAAACGACACTGGGTGGAACGAAGGGTTTTAGTGGGGGACGGGGATAATAACTCATTTCGGGGATTACTTTCGGAAGAAATGGGACTCTGAGGCGCTCAGGGTGGGGCTCCCCCTGTCTCAGGCCGCCCAAGTACTGCAGTGGGGTCTCTGAGGTTTGGAGTGGGGAGGCAAGGTGGGACTTTCCCCGTGAAGATGGAAAAGGGTCTCTGAAGTCCTGAGCCTTTTGAGAAGTAACGGGGTTTCCCCGCAGGGACATGGGGTGGAGAGGAGTGTAGGCGGGCCTCTGACATCCTGGACAGGGCAGAGGGTCGGTCTCCTTGAGTTGGGCCAGGAACCCCCCACCCTCCTTGGGCTGCGGGAGGCTCTGGGCTCAGCTTCCTGGGGGTGAGGCCTACCAGTGTGATGTGGTTCAGCTTGCCCGCCAGGTGTTCAAGGCCCTCCTTGGTCATTTGTATCGCCCGCGTGGCACGTTCCAGCTGATCCTGTGCCTCAATACGCCGCTGCTCTTCCACCTTAAGGCGCTCCTGCAACTCAGCTTGCAGCTTCTGCTGACTACAGGCAGTGGGGGGGGGGTCACCACTGGAGCGCCTTGGAGCGGGGGAGGGGGGGGTTGGGGGGTGGGGGGAATCTCTCCCTTGGGCACTGGGGCCTCACCTCACAATCGTGGCCTCCCCTGAGTACTTGAGGTCTTCCAGCTCTCGCTGCAACCGCTGCTTCTCTTGCTTCAGCCTGAGCAGCGACTGCTCATTAGCGCTCTTGAGCGTCTCCAAATGCGTGAAGGTGTCGCCCTGTGCCAGGAACCGCCTCACCACCGCCTGCAGGCCCCCCAGCCCCAGTCAGAGGGAGGCCTGGGCAGGCCTGTGTGCACCCCCTCTTCCTTTCCCCTGGGCACGCAGGACAGATGGCCTAAGCTGGTTGGCTTCTGCGCAGCGATGATGTTTAGGGACACTGTGAGTCAGACGCAGAGCTGCCTCAAGGATGTGCAGCCCCCGACTTAATTTTTGCAGGGCCCTTGTCCATATAAGGAATTTCAATCAGCCCAAATCGTCGTGTGGTGCAGGGTAGCAGTGAGCATCGTTGCTTTCCGAAATCAACCTGCCCTCCACGTTGTGACGGTGAATCTCGCCCCATCCACTGAGGAAATATGGCCAATCTCGGGAGCTATCTGCCCACCAGGCCAATTTCAGGAAAGGTGCTGGGCCACAGTGCCCCAGATGACCCCATAGCCCGGAGTCCCAGAACCCGTCCGGGGTTACCCTATGGGAGAAGTAGCAGTGGGAGAGTGCCCAAAGGGGAGAAACTGGACTGGGGTCCAGTGGGATCAGCATCTGCCAGCGGGAAACATGAGGGTCTTAGCAAATTGCAAGGCAAATGCTGCAAAGCGCAGGACCCAGGGCAGGGGCCCCGCCTGTCAGGGTCTGAGAGCAGCACTGGGCAGTCCACTGTGCCCCAGACCATGTTACAGGGACTGGAGACACAGGAGAGACCAAACTCGCAGTTCTCACAGAGCTGACACGCCAAGGAAGTTAGCGCCCGCATAACAGCGAACAGGAGAGGGACTGACGGCGAGGGTAGACAGCTCGTGTGGGTTTTGCTGTGAGGAGCAGCAGAAAACCGGGGCAATAACTGGAGGAGGGAGGAGTGTCTTCTACGAATAGAGCAGGTTTGTGTGCTGAGGAACTGAGCCAGCAGAAAGGGGAGGCTGGGTGTGTTGGCTTCACTGGCCCGGACTCAGTTTGAGCGGAACTAGAGGGCAGCACTCACGTGGGTTTCGGCAACGCCCGTGGCGTCCTTGACCTTGCCAAAAAGCATCTCAGTCTGGTACATGCTCCAGCGCCGCCTCAGCTCCTCCTCTTTGGCGCGCACGTTGTCCTGGGTCGAATCTTCGGACTGCAGCAGCACGTGCTCACGCTGGGTCTGCTCACAGGTTGAGGTCGGGGCGGGAGTCAGCTCTCAGGCAAGGATTTAGGGTAGAGGCCAGAGAAGGGTAACGGGACAGGGGGCCGGGAGGGGGCGGGGCCCGACTGGGGAGCCAGGGTAAAGGTTTGGGTCAGGAGAGCAGGAAAGGGTTGGTCAGCGATGGGCAGCCTCAGAGGCAGGGCAAAGAGGCGGGGGTCAAGGGAGGGGGCGGGGCCTCGAGTAAGGGGCGGGCTAGAGGCAGGATCAGATTTAGGAGGGGAGGTGGTCATCAGGTGGGGATGGATGGGGACGACCGGTGAGTGAGGGGCGGTCTGGAGGCTCCTCCAAACAAGGAAATCTGAGGGCGGGAGGGCGGGGTCAGGGAAGTGGGAGGAGCCCTGGGCATCAAGCGGAGGTGGGGGCGGAGTCCAGAGAAATGTCAAAAGCGGGGAAGGTCTAGGGTATTGCTCGACGCAGGGGTGTGGCCGGACCGGCAGGGCCAGGTCTAGGCTGGGGCGGGCTGGAGTTGCACCCCGGCACCCCTGGGTACGCCCACCTTGCGCTCCATGCGTTCGTTCTGCAGCTTCCTCTCTTCCGCGCGCTTCTTGCACTCGGTTATGTAGCGCTCACGCTTCTTGCGCTCTCGGAACACGGTCTCCTCCAGATACTGCAGCTGGTTCTGGAGGAAGGGCCGGGAGGACAGCAGGACCAGCTGGTACCTACCGAGGCTCAGGGCCGGAGCGGCCAGCCCAACTTCAGACAGCTGGGCCAGGCTGCAGGGTCCTGGGAGATAGGCGGGAGGAGCTCGGGGACAGCTGGGGTTCAGATTCTGGGGCCAGGAGACCACGGCGTCTGGGCAGGAACCCCAGGGCCTGGCAGGCTGGCACCTTGGCGATATCCTGGGCGTTTAACGCCTCCTGGTTCACCACTTGCAGCTCCTCTAGCTCGCGTTTTGCCCTCACCACCTCAGCCTCCATGAAGTCCAGCCGGTTTTCCAAGTGAAGGCTCTCCTCCTGGGGGGTGGGGATGGGGGGGTGGGACAGGCCTGTGACCGATGTCCCTCGGCAGGCTGGCCCTCCCACTTGCCTCCACCCCACCCCCAAGCCGCCCTGGTCCCTACCTGGAGATAGGCCTTGAGCTGCAGGTACACATTGGTAATGTGTTCGGCCTCTTCCGCCTTCATCCGGGCCTTCTCCAGGCGGTTCTCCAGGTTCCGCATGGTCTAGAGGGAAGCAAGGCTGGGCTGAGTCCCCTCCCCTCTCAAATTCTCCCCAGGATCTCCACCCCCAGCCCCCACCCCTCCTCAACGGCCTCACCTTGGCCACCTCTGTGTTGCCATTTCGCGCTTCGGCCATCTCCAGCTCGCGGAGGCTGTGCTGCAGCTGGAGCTCATCGAGCCACTTCCGCCGCACCCCCACCTGGTGCCGCAGCAAATTCAGCTGCTTCACCTTCTCACTCAGCCGGTGGTCCAGGTGCTGCAGGGCCTGCTGGAGGGAGGCGAGCCCAAGCGGCAGCCTGAACCCTCCCACCTAAGCCTTCCTCCCTTTCTTCTCCCATATCTTGTTTCTCATCTCCCTGGGCTCAGCGGCATCTGACCCGGCTGATCCCCTGCTCCTGCAGATCGTCAACTTTGGTAGCTTCCAGGACTCCCCCCCCCCAATCCCCAATTTTCCACCCTGGCTGCCCCTTCTCCATTTTCTTGGCCAGCCTCAGGCGCTTCTCACCTCTGTTCACACCCACCCCCTTGATGGACCTATCTAGGCTCAGGGTTTGAAAACTCACCAGAGCTGAAAACATCCAAATTTACCCCCCCACCACCCCACCCCAACGCCCGGAACTACAGGCTCATATACCCATATCTACACCACCTTCCAGGCGTCTCCACAGGCACCACAAAACCATCATGTGCAAAACTGAGTACATGATCTTTCCCCAAGTCTGCCCTCCTTGAATCTTCTCCATGTCAGCGCACGGCAGCTTGGTCCTTCCTGATGCTCAAGTCCAAAAGCTCGATGTCCTCCTCACCTTCTCTTCTTCCATCCCACCTACATTCAATTCGTTAGCAATGCTTTGTTCTGTTTCAAAGTTTTTCCTGGAGCTACCTCGTTCTTCCTATTTCCACCACTTTTGTCTAAGTGCGGCCAACACCATCTTCACCTGGAGGACCTTCACCTGACTTCCCACTTCTTCCTCACACTTCACGTCATAAAATCTGAACTCTTCGTCTTGGCCAGTTAAGCCTGCTGGAAGGTTCAGCCGCTGCTGACCCTCTTTTTTTTTTTTTTAATTAAAGATTTTATTTATTTATTTGAGAGAGAGAGAGCATGAGTGGGAGCGGCAGAGGGACAAGCAGACTCCAGGGCTCGACACAGAGCTCAACTCTAGGACCCCGAGATCCTGACCTGAACTGTAGTCAGAGGCTTAACCCACTGAGGCACCCAAGTGCCCTCTTGCTGACCCTCTTGACCTCATCTCCTACAGAGCCCCACTCATGCACTCCCATCCAGCCACACTGGCCAGGCTGTGTCTCCAATGCTCTATTCCCTTGTTTCTACCTCAGGGACTTTGCACTTGCTGTTCCCTCTGCCTGGATAGCTCTTCCCCAAATCATTTCCTGCCTGTCTCATTCTCAGCTCAAATATCAACTTTTTAGAGAGAGGGGGCTTTGCTGACTCCCCACTCCCACCCCAATCTAAAGTGCAAACTCCTTGGGGTGCCTGGGTGGCTCAGTTGGTTGAGTGTCTGCCTTCAGCTCAGGTCATGATCTCGGGGTCCTGGGATGGAGCCCCACATCGGGTTCCCTGCCCAGTGAGGTGTCTGCTTCCCCTCTCCCTCTGCACCTCCCCCCCCCGCTCGTGCTTGTGTACTCTCTCTCTCTCAAATAAGTTAATAAACCTTTAAAAAAAAAATAAGGTGCAAACCTCTGCCCCTATCTATCTACTTTATTCATTTCTCGTCACTACTGGAAATTACTTTGTTTCTGCATTTGTTCTTGGTGTTTTTGTTGTTTTGTTTTGTTTTGTTTTCCTGCATTCCCTTTTCCCCACTAGGATATGAAGTTTGGGCAGTGGAGATTGGTCTGTTTTTTTTTCTTTTCTTTTCTTTTTTTGACTACATAGTCACCAATACCGAATACCATGCCTAACACAGTCAGTGTGTGATAAAGATTAGTTGAGTGAATAAGTGAACGCCAGCTGGTGGGGAGAAAGGATTGGAGACGGTGAGATGAGACAGGGAGTCCAGCGGGGAGGGGACACAAGCTGGAAATGAAAGGAGAGGGTCAGTGGAGTGGGGTGGTGCAAACCTGTCCTGTCCTGTTCTTCAGGTATGGCTTCTCTGACTTCCACTCCCGAATCACTGCCTGGACCACTTTCTCATCTCCCTGCAAGGAGAGGAGCCCAGTCACCGCTCACCCAGACCATCCGGACCTGAGGCAGCGCCCTGCCCCTTGGGGATGCTGCCCTGACTCCTGGAAACCCTTCGCCCACGTCAGCACCCTCACCTGGAGCAGGTTTGTCAGCTGTACGTGCAGCACCCTGGTCTCCTCATGGAGCTGGTTGATGGTATCCTGATTCTTCTTGATGTTCCACTGGGTGCTCTCGTAAAAGGCCTTCCGGTCACCCTCTGAGGTCATGCGAGGTACACAAGCAGAGTGTCAGGGGGTTGGGGGCTTTCCAGAGGGAAGCTGTTTTTGTTATCATTGACTTCATATTATAACAATACTTTGGTTTGAACATTTATTATATACTCGATGCTGGACAAAGCACTTTCCAGGTCTCAAATACCATATGTCAACAGGTACATATCCATATCATACCCATTTACAGATGAGAAGAATGAGGCTCAGGCTTATTAGATTGTTCAAGATCACAAGAAGTCTGATTCCTGAGCCCATACCTTCAACTACTGCGCAAGATTACCTTCTAGTAGTAACGAAACAGTTCTCATAATGGTTCACATCAGAATTTCCCAACCTTGGCACGACTGATATTTGGGATGGATAATTATTTGTTTGGAGCTGTCTCATGCATTGTCAGATGTTGAGCAGCATCCCTGGCCTCTGCCCACTGGATGACCAGTATCACACCCCTCCCTCCCCAACAAGGTTACCATCAAAAATGTCTCCAGGCATTGCCAAATGTCCACTGGGGAGCAAAATGGCCCTCTTCCATTGAGAAACATCAGTTTGCACTTTATAGTGCTTTACTATGTGCCAGTCACTGTCCTAAGCACTTTATACATTTCAACTACCTATGGGGTTGTTCTCTTATTATCCCCATTTTACGAATAGAGAAACTGAGAGCAATTAGGCTACTCATAGTCCCCTAAGATCAAACAGTTTATGCAGAGCAGAGCCAAGATTTGAACCCAGAAAATCTGGCTCTAGAATCTATGCTCTTTACCATCACCCCCCCCCCCCATGCGTGGTAGAAGAGTTGAAATTACACAAAAGTATGAAACACAGTTTAGTTGGTTCTGAGTCCAGGAAAGATTTCATAAGAGAGACGAGGAAAACCACAAACAAGTATGAGTTTTTGCCTCCAGAAACTGGTCACCTGGATGAAGGCCGGTGGAAGGCCCTTGTCACACCGTGCGTGGTCGGAGGGCTGGGTGGACACTGTTGACTCCTGATTCTTTGTGCCCTTTCAAGCCATCTTACCTAACAGTTGTATCTTCCTTTGTAACTCTGCCACCTGCGTGTGCACAGCGGACTTCCCCTTTCGAGCATGGACGTGTCCAGCCTTGGAATGCAGTGGGAGCCAGGCCTGGGCCACACCCTTCACTTGGGAGTGGTGGTGCTGAGCCTTAGTCTGACTGCCTTTGACCTTGGCGGAGGTCGAAACCTGGTCCTGAGAAGTCGGGATGTTGGTGGAGGCCGCCCAGCACAGGGGAGAAGTCATGACTGGGTTGGAGCCTAGGGTCCCTGGGGATTGGGGTGTAAAATTGCTCCTGTCCTGGATCCGTCAGCGCGGGTTCCCCGGGTTCTGGGAGAATGCACTTTCCGACCGCTTGGCGGGGCCTCGCAGCATCTCCCGGTTGCTGGGTAACCTCTGCCCCCTCCTTCTTCCAGCGCTCCCATGGAAACCGCCCGCGTTCCACACCACCGCTTTCACTGGCTAACGCTGTGCAGAGGGGTGGGCCAATGGCGGGCTGGCCAAGCCTCTCTGCTGGATATTGGGAGGATGGCACTTTGGGGTCACGTGCTCATCTTTTTTTAATTTTTAATTTTTTTTATTTTTGAGTAACCTCTACACCCAAGGTGGGGTTGGAACCCACAATACTGAGATCAGGAGTCACACGGTCTAAGTCGGAACCAGCCAGGCGCCCCAACTTTTTTTTTTTAAGATTTTATTTTTTGAGTAACCTCTCCACCCAATATGGGGCTCGAACCCACAACCCCAAGATCAAGAGTCCGCTCCTGGACTGAGCCAGCCAGGCACCCCCTACTTTTTTTTTTTTTTTTTAAAGCACCCCCCAACACCACCACCACTCCGCTGGGTTTCCAGGGCATTTTTCAGGAACCTTCTTTTCCGGCGGCTGAAGCTGCCACTCCCAAGATGGAGGAACCGAGCGCCGCCATTAAGCGCGAACCATCAGAACGATCCCCTCTAGGCGTCACAGTCCTATCCAAGATGGCCGTCTGGGTTCCAGCCCACCCCCTCCCCCATTTGCCACTCCCAACATGGCACCCTTGGGTCGCCGCTCCGCACGCGCGGCGTGATGCCGGAAGTGACGGATCCCAAATAGTTCCGCTTTCTTTTTTCTGGAGGAGCGGTTGGCTGCTGGGCTTGGGGGCGCGGTGGATATTGACCTTTGCCCCGGCCTCGTGTAGGTGGTGAATTAATGCGCGGGGGGGGTCACCCCAATTTCTTATTGGGGGCAGCTGAAGGGTGTTCGTCGGTAGAATGGGAGACTTAACCCCTTCGGCCAATTGGCGGGAATTGCATAGCTCACCACCCCACCCCCACCCCGGCAGGGAGCGGAGGTTTTGAGCTTCCCACTATTGATATGAGCAGAGTGAGACTCCCTCTGGGCAAGACTGGGGCGAGCCCCCCCATCCGCCGCCCACCCCCCCCCCCCGGTGTCGGAAGCAGAGTGAGCCCCCATTGCCCGGAAGCGATGGAGGAGTCCAATTGGCTGGAGGAAGAGGTGACTTCCTTTGGCTGGAAGTAGCCCTCTCCCACTGACCCTCCGCCCCTTTCTTGCCGCAGCGTGGGTGCACAGCCCTTCTCCCCGCAGCCGGCTTCCTCCCCCCAGAACCTGTTTCCGGCCTGCGAGCTTCTGCGGGATGTTACTGTTCGCGGTGCTGCTGCCCCTGTGCTGGGCCGTGGAGGTCAAGAGGCCCCGGGGCGTCTCCCTCACCAGTGAGTCCGCCGCTGGAGGTGGCTGAAGGTGGGGGTAGGGTGTGGGAGGGGCCGACTTGGCCCCTGGGATAGATACTTTGAGCCTTCGGCCTCAGTTTCGGGGCCTCTGGGTAGGGAAGGTGGCAATGCACAGCTGCTGGGTGAGGGCTGCGAGGGTCTCTTCCTGCCTTGGGCTGAGCCCCTTACCTCCGTCCCAGACCATCACTTCTATGATGAGTCCAAGCCTTTCACTTGTCTGGACGGCTCTGCCACCATCCCTTTTGATCAGGTCAATGATGACTACTGTGACTGCAAGGATGGCTCAGATGAGCCAGGTGAGTCTCGGTTCATTTATTCATTCATTCATTCATTCATTCATTCATTCATTCATTTATTCGAGGTTTTTTGAGTGCCTGGGAAATGCCAGCCCGTGTGGTGGTGGGTGACCAAGACAGACCCAGTCCTGCCCTCACATGGCTCCCTGTTGAGTGGGGGGGAAGCCAGTGGTTTGGTGAGGAGGGCTCGCCAGCTGCTGGGGGAGCCCAGCCTGGGGGTCAGGAAGTGAGGGCTCCGCTGAACCCTGAAGTGTGCTGAAAATGGAGGTGCCCGCAGGTGCAAATACCCAGAGATGGGAGAGAAGGTGCGGTCGAAGGGCAGGCAAAGACAGAAGTGGAGGCAAGGGATGGAACAGTCGGCCGGGCCCTGTTCCGAGGGCCTGGGTGTGGAGAGGCAGGAGAGAACGTTGGAGAGATTTATTTCAGCCTGAGTGTGCAGCTGCCCTTCCTTCCCTTTCTCCGCATTGGTGGTCCTCACGGGCTGTCTATGTGCACGCGTGTCGGGGGGATCTGCCTGTGGGTGGGTGTGTGGATGGGTTAGCCTGAGGTCACCCCGAAAACTCCCTCCCGCAGGTACAGCCGCCTGTCCTAACGGCAGCTTCCACTGCACCAACACTGGCTACAAACCCCTATACATCTCCTCCAGATGGGTCAATGATGGAGTTTGTGGTGAGTGAGATCACACCGCGGGTGGCGAAGTAGGCGGTGGGGGGAGTAGGGAGGAGCCCCACCGGGTCTGATCCATCCCTGCTTCTGCTCTCAGACTGCTGTGATGGGACCGATGAGTACAACAGCGGGATCGTCTGTGAGAACACCTGCAAGTATGTGGCTGCCCACCGCCGCGCCGCCCCCCCCCCCGCGCCCCTGACCTTGCCTCGCCCCACCCAGTGAACCATGCCCCTCTCTTCTCTGCTTTTGTCCGTCGAGCGCTCACTCTGCCAGCGCCTTGTGAACAAACACCACATTGCCACTCCATCGCTGGCCCAGAAGCAGGCACCGTTGTTTCCCAGTTCAGCAGACGAGGAAAGTCAAGTTTAGAATAAAAAGTGACTTTCCCCAAGGTTCCCCCAGCTAGGACAGAGCAGAGCCAGGGCTTGAACCCAGGCCCGTCGAATTTGAGACTCCGATCTTTGAATCGCTCCTATCTTTGAATCGCTCTGCCCTTGCAGCAGGACCTGAAAACTGAAATGCCCCCAGGCAGGTGGTATAAACAGCAGAAGGCAGCCGAGCGTGAGGCAGTAGGGAGTGGTGGGCACTGTGGCATCTAAAGGAACACCTGTCCCTTGACTCCGGGCAGTTGAAGACAAGTGGCCAAGCTAGATTTGTTTTTCAGAGAAGCTGAAAATCCCAGTATTTTGTAAACTCACCTGATGGGAGATCTTTTAGGTACAGGGCGGGTCAAGGGCAACACAGTTATCCATCAGATGGCCTTCTCGTCTAGGAGTCTGTGATTTCTGTGCTTTTCTTTCTCCTTTGGGAGGCAACTTCTAGCCCCACATCCGAGCATTCCCTAGCCCCTCTCCTAGATCCCTACAGCGAGCGAACTCTGACTGCTGCCCCTTCTCTCAGGGACAGGGATGAAGGGCTCTGAGGAAGTGGGGGGAGGGGGGTTTGCTCCATGTTTCCCCACATGGGGTGGGCAGCAGGTAGGTTGAGCCCTTTTGGAGGAGGCAGAGCTGTGAGCCCTAAGGGCTTCCCCGGTGGTGCTTGTGTGTTCCCTCCACCCCAGGGAGAAGGGCCGTAAGGAGAGAGAGACGCTGCAGCAGATGGCAGAGGTCACGCGAGAGGGGTTCCGCCTCAAGAAGATCCTCATCGAGGACTGGAAGAAGGCTCGGGAGGAGAAGCAGGTGAGGGACCCCGTGGGGCCGGCCCCGGACAGTCTGGGCCCTGAGGTCTGGAGTCATAGGCTGGTGAGGCTGGGTGGGATTGACACCTGCCCCTGACTAGTGGAGTCCTGGGGCCAGTTACCATCTGTGTGTGCCTTGGTTCACCCATTCGTCAGCTGGCTGTTTAGTCATTGGTTAAGCCGTTACCAGGTGGTGGTCAGCACAGGTCTTGCACAAGGCCTTGGTGGCAGGCTGAAGTGGGCTTAGAGGAGTGTCCTCCTGCATCCCAGAACAGGAGGGACGCCTCTCTGCATCCTGGTGGCATCATCTGTAAGATGAGGCTGATGACCATGTGACCTCCCCATTCTGGGGGCGGACTCAAGACATTGTCAGAGCAGCCGGGTTAGTTCCATAGGGTGAGTGCTGCAGGGGCTGGAAGAAATCGTGTGCCCAGGCATGTGTCTCTTCCTCCCCTGCCCACCACCCCCTTGGGCTGTCAGACGGGTCAGAGTCCTCAGCACTGCCCCTAGACTTCTGCCAGACTCTCCGCATGAGGGCTTCAGCTCTGTTTTTCTGCCCAGGGAAGGTTCTGGGTCTTTCTCCCCTCCATGCCCTGGCTGGTGAGGCCCCTCTTGAGGTCGGTGGGGAGGGGCAGTGAAGTCCTTTCTGAATTCAGAAGATCGTGAGGGAGCCATGCAGTGAAGTTGGCTCCAAGTGAGTTTTGCCCTCCTGGGGGCGGTAGGAGGATCCTGGGAGCAGGCCAGGCTGAGATGTGGGCCAAGGTCTTAGGAGGAAAATGATCCCGTGGCGGGGCTTGGTCTAAGACCCTTCAGCTGGGGGCCCCATCCACACAGCACACTCGTTCCTTCTTGAAATATCCACAGAGGCCCAGAATGTGCTGTGGTGTAGTGGGCATGAGACTGGAAACAGACCTGGAATTGCCTCAAGGGCGCACTGTCCACTGAGAGGGACAGATGCCAAAGGGACACCCAGGGCCCCTGGAAAAAGGGTCGTTTGGGTTGGGGCTATAAGGCAGAGAGGAGACTCGTGCCCAGTCTCCCTCCTCCTCCCACCTGTTGTGGGGGCAGGAAGCAGGGACGGCTTCTGGAGGAGAAGGCCTCTATCTAAGCTGAAATCTGTGGGCTAATTCGGAGTTAGCCATGCAGAGTGTTCTAGGCAGAGGGAAAGCATGTGTGAAGAACGGGAGGCAGAGAGCCTTTGGGGAATCTAAATGTTGTCGGGGTAGTTGGAGCCTACAGGTCAAGATAGTGGTGGGACAGCTGGGGCTGGAGCAGTGGGCCTGGTTATGCAGGACTGGGGGGGCTACATCGAGGTGTTCAGGGTTCTCTCTGGTGAGCTCCGGGGAACCACAGGGAGGTGTGTGCTTCGGGAAGGTCACCTGTGGCCACCCTGTGGCGTAGAGGCAGGGAGATGGCGCTCAGGAAGAAGGCAGAACAGAAGGAGAGGTGGCATCTTGCCTTTTGCCCACCCAGGAAAAGCTCGCTGAGCTACAGGCTGGAAAGAAGTCCCTGGAGGACCAGGTGGAGATGCTGCGCATGGTGAAGGAGGAGGCCGAGAAGCCAGAGAAGGAGGCCAAAGAGCAGCACCAGAAGCGGTGGGAGGGTACGTCATGGGGTGGCCAGGGCTGGCCCTTGTCTTCTGGCTGGGCAGCGCCTGGCCCCGGGAGCGATGCTCATACCTGTTGGCTCTCGTGTCCGCTGACTTTCGATCGTGCTGCCTCAGTCCTCCGTGCGCCTCATTGTCTTTGCCTGTGCGTTGGTCATTGTATTCGAAAGTCATTCGTAGGAATAATCTGCAGCCTAGCAGAAGTGATTGTTTTTCTGAGAGGAGGTGCTGTTCTTTCTGCCAGCCACATGGGAACACTACCATTGGGGGATCCCCTGAATCCAGAATGAAGGCTGGAGGCCCCTCCAACCTGTCAGGCAGTGGGAGCGGAGGTGTGAGAACAGGCAGGGTGATTTCTGGTCCAGCTTCTCCTTAAGGGGGCCACCCTGGGGTGAGGTCACAGCTTAGTTGGGCGGGGGGGGGGGGCTTTCCCATTCTCCCCACCTGGGGCTTTGGTTCCCTCTCTGTTGTCTCACAAATTCTCATCAACACAGACCTCCGGATTTGCCGGGAGCTTCCATGTCCTTTAACCTTCCTGAATTGCTCTTTGGCCTGGCAATTTATGTCACTTTGGTTGGTTGAAGATGGTTTCTTATGCTCTGTCCAGCATTTTCTTGCTTTTGGCAGGTTGTGCTGCCATTCTGGAAAATCGGGAGCCTTGGCAGTCTGGCCGGTGGGGGTCACGCTGTGGAAGCAGGCTAGATGGGCGAGGTGGGGCAGAAACCTCCTCCAGACTAGTTAAAGGTCCAGGCATTGCAGGAAGGATTTGGAAATGTGGCCCTGGCTACTCCCTGGGCTGGTGACCGGGAGTCGGGCAGCCTGTCTCCGAGTCCACCCTGCTGATCTCTTCTATCTCCCTGGGCCCCTGCTGCATTCTTTGTCCCTTTCTCTGTCTGCCTTGGTTTCTCATAAAATCGGTAATCCAGTAGCTCATGCAGCGCTCGTGGGGTTTCTGCTGCGTGCCGGGCACATCCCAGGTACCAGTGGTTCAGCACTGACCGAGGTGGAGATAGCCCCTGCCTGCTGAGAGAAGGAGGGAGCCAAGCAGAGGACACAGCTGCAAAGGCCCTGAGGCAGCCTCATGTCTGGTTTTTGAGGGCCAGCAAGGAGGCCGTGTGGCAGGAGGGAGGGAGTGAGGAGAATCGGAGGGGTGTGGGAGAGAGACCAGGGCAGGGCCTTGGGGACCGCGGGGAGGACTTAGGCTTTTACCCCTGGTGAGGTGGGAGCCATAGAGGATTCTGAACAGAGGAGGAACAGAAGCCAGGAAACCAGGGAGGAGCTGACCACATTGGTCCAGGCAAGCGATGGGCTGGGGGGGACCAGGGTGGGGGGGGCACAGGGATGGAGAGAAGTGGGCCTGAAGGCAGGCTGAAGCTGTTTGTGACCCCGGGGGCAGGTGAGCAGGAACCCCAGTGGCATCTGCAGCCTCCCCTCCTTCCCTCAGCAGAGACTGTTTCTGCCCCTAGACCCTGGCTTCCACCCTCCACTGCTTTTGGGAGACCCTGGACTTTGTTATCTTCCCCCTTTCTGGGGCGGCGTCCAGCTGGTACCTCTCCTCCACCGAGAAGCACACTCGGGCCCCGCCACTCAGACAGCTGTCCCCAAGCTCTGCCTTCCCCTCCAGTGCTGGGAAATCGGGAGGTCTCTTCTCTCTGTTCATCCTGATGGAAGCCAGCTTCCTAACCCATCCTGTGGCTCTGCCCCTGGCCCTGCTCTTCGCCAGCCGGGGAACTGCGGGCAGGTCCCTTCGGCCAGCCAGCCTCACGCCCTCACCTGGGAGAGGGACGGTGCCAGCCTGGTCTGCTGGGGCGTGGTGGGCTCTCTGGGGGTGAAGCACAGCGTGGCAGAGGGAACCCTGCTTGTCCCATTGGAGACGGCTGAGCGGAGGCCCCGTGTACACCAGGAGCTCAGTCGCTGTGGCCGCTTTCTCGTCCAGCCCGACGAGGTGGGGGTGAGGCCAGCGGAGGAGGCACCGCCCTGGGCCCCCAGGAAGCCTTCCTGGCTTGGCCACACCCCACCCCAGTCTCCATCCTGACCTTCGTGTTGGAGAGCGGGCCTGGGGTGCACGGGCTGCTTCACATGGGGGCCTCCCAGACGTGGCCGACCTCTGCGTGATCTCCCGCTCACCCTTGCACAGTCGCTGCGAGCCCCTGCTTGTTCAAACCCAAAGTCCCAGGGTGTCCTCAAGCCCCAGCCCCCATGTCTGCAGACCTCTCAACTCCCCGCTTCGGGGTCTCCCCACTATCTGGCACTTCTCGCCTCCTCCTTGGCCCCCACCCTGGCCAGCCTTTGGCAGCTCCTGGCTCCCGTCCCTGGTCTGTGCTCTTCAGTGGCCCGACTCGGCACCCAGGGCAGGGCCAAGCACACGGTGGGACACATGGGGTGTTGGGGCAGGGCAGTTCTCAGGGTGGCGGGTGACGGAGCCGGGTCCTCCACAGAGCGGCAGGCCGCCTCCAAGGCCCAGCGGGAACAGGAGCTGGCGGCCAACGCCTTCCAGGAGCTGGACGACGATATGGATGGGGCGTGAGTCTACCCATCCTGCCCTGGGCCTGAGGTTCCCTCCTCCCACCTCCCCCTACCCTGTGCCTGAGCCCCACCTCCTCAGCATGGGTCCTTAGCTAGTCCCAAACCATATCTGGTTGGGACTAGCTTGCTGTCCCCTTACTGAGCCCCTGCTTACTCAGGTATAAAGTAGGTCCAGAAAAACCCTGAAGGTAGATGAGGGAACCCCCCACATGCAAGGAGTCAGGTGAGGTAGCTGGGGGGTTCCATTACCTTTCCCAAGCCTATTCTGTGGCTTGGGTCACTTTGACAAAAGCCAGACCCCTATTAATCCCACTGTGCCCCTGACCTTGCTGGCTGACCCAGGCTAATGGCCGAGTGGAGGGTGAGCTGTCGGGAACATGGAATCTCTGTTTCTCCTTCGAGCCCCTTCTGGGCTGTGGAGTCCTCAGGACAGGGGAGAAGATGGGACTGGGCCCCCTCTGACCCCAACCCCAGAGTCCACCTTCTCCCAACTTCTGCCTCCCCTCCCACTTTGAGTCTGGGCAGGGGCCCTGACAAGGCGGGGGGAGCAGGTAGCGGGCCCAGAGCCAGTGGGCCTCACCGCCCTGCTGGCCTCTCCCTGTGCCCCTGCAGGGTCTCGGTCACCGAGCTGCAGACCCATCCGGAACTGGACACCGACGGTGACGGGGCACTATCAGAAGGGGAAGCTCAGGTACCCCATCCTTCTCCTTGCCCTGGGACTCGTAGAGGTCTCATTGCCCTAGGGTGACCTCAGGGCCAGGGGGCGGGGGACAGGCTGGCCCTGGGCTGCTCCCAGGGCTGCTGGGGTGCCCAGGATGGCTGATGCCACTGGGCCTTGCCTGGGTGAGGCGAGAGGGTAGCAGCCCAGCTCTCCTCCCTGCCCTTTGGGACCTGGGCACACCACACGGGTGCCGTGGGGGCACCTGGTTAGGAACGCGCCAGATTTCCCACCCACCTGGCCCCTCGTGCTCCCCCGAGTGTGTGCCCCCCACCCTGCTCTGGCCTCCTCGCGGGCGGCCTTGGCTCTCTGGCCTAGCTGTGGCTGGCTCCCTGCTGCTGGCTCCTTCCCTGTCCCGCCCGGGCCTCTGCCTCTTCCCAAGGGCCCAGCGACCTCTGGTGCTTGTGCTCTGGAGCTCCCTCTGCCTCTCTGTCTCAGTTTCTCTCCCCGGCCGCTCAGGCCCTCACCCCTACCTGCTCCCCTGCTTCTCCCCTCCTCTGGGGCCCGCCCTCTTTCCCACAGGCCTGTGCTGCCGCTTCGGGCCGCTCCGCCTCAGCGCCCAGGCCTGGCTGTGGGGGGGTCAGGGCACCCCCTGCTAGAGCGTGCCTGGGGCACACGGCCGGGGGGGCGGGGCGGGGGACGTGGAGGCCCCGATCTTGACACTGCTGCCAACACACACACAGGCCCTGCTCGGGGGAGATGTGCAGACTGACGCTCCCGCCTTCTATGACCGCGTGTGGGCCGCCATCAGGGACAAGTACCGCTCCGAGGTCAGCGGGGGTAGGAGAGGACATGCAGTACCCCTCCCTGCCCTGCCCCCGCCAAATGCCTCACAAAGAAACTGCCTCTGCTTCTGGCACAGGGCCATCCTGGCCAGCGGGGTCATCCAGGCCCCCTCCAGGGAGGGCCCCCCCCATCAGCTGTCTGTCCCTCCAGGCCCTGTGGGAGGGGCCGAGACACTGAGGCTGCCCGCTGGGTGATGGTGTGAGCTTGGACTTGAGCCCCGGGGAGGTGGGGGTGGACCACCGGGCCTATGGCACCGAGTGCCCGCACACCCACCAGGTGCTGCCCACCAGCCCTCCACCTGTGCCTTCTGAGCCTGACCTGACAGAGCCCAAGGAGGAGCAGTCTCCAGTGCCCTCGCCGCCCGCGGACGACGACGAGGAGGAGGAGGAGGAGGAAGAGGAAGAGGAAGAGACGGAAGAGGAGGAGGAGGAGGAGGAGGAAGAAGATTCCCAGGTGCAGGGGGAGCAGCCCAACGTGTGTGTTTGCAGGGGTGGGG